TCAATTATTCAAGCAAGATGATTCAACACACAACAGCTGTACATCATTTCATGGGTCTGAAATTAGAACATTCATTACACTTGACATTGAAAACAATAATCTGTTTATTAATGTACATTAAACTTAAACTGCTGTCCACCCACAAAAGAATTCTTACTGCGGGAAATGATGTGTCCTTCAAATGACCTCAAAGCCTCCAGATTGTGGGTTGGCGAAAGTTCCACTCTCTGTTGCAAAGGGCCTCTTTTTGAAACAGGTTAATTCAACAAGTATTCAGAGATCACAACAGCTGAACATCATTTCATGGGTCTGAAATTACAACATTCATTACACTTAACATTGAAAAACATACTCTTTTTATTAATGTGCATTGAAATTAAACTACTGTCCACCCACAAAAGAATTCTTACTGCGGGAAATGATGTGTCCTTCAAATGACCTCAAAGCCTCCAGATTGTGGGTTGGCGAAAGTTCCACTCTCTGTTGCAAATGGCCTTCTTTCAAAAATATACATAACCTGATATGAACATCCTCAGTGATTTTCATTTTTAGCACCAGTGACAGTTTGCCAAATTTCAAAGTGTGATATCTAATCAACAGATTTTTGACCAGAATTCGCAAAAATAAATCAATTTAAAAATTTCCAGATTTACGGTATTCATTTTTCAAACCTTTCACTTGATTCAAATCAAATCATCAATTTGAATGGGCAATCTGGTTTTGTCCAATGCATTTAATTATGCTGTATCTTCTTCATGTACTTGAAGTATCTCTGCCTGTTCTGCCTTCTCAGATTTATCACTTTGATGCGGATTTTTTTCACTTTTTCTTTGAAGTCATAGTCTTTCAAAACGACTGGATTTTTAGAAATGAACGTATGTATCTTTTTGCACACTACAAAGAAAATAATATGCAAGATTACTTTTCCTATGATAAACTGGACATTGAAAATTTACACTCCCATATGTTATCATGCATAATACAAAGTACCAGGGTTGGATGATTTAACTTAATTGATATCAAAACCACAGCACTGTTAAAGTAGAAGAGTTTAAAGAAACATTGAGATAAAATGATTCGATTTCCCGATTTTAAAAAATAAACGTGCACTGGGGGTACTTCAGATTGTGTGGGATGGATTGATTTATTGTTTAACGCCCCTCTCTTGAACATTTCACTGATATGGAGACCTCACCATTGCTGGTGGAGGGCTGCAAATTTAGGCCTATGATCGGCACCTGCATCCTTTGAGCAGAGAGGGATCTTTATTGTGCCACACCTGCTGTGAAATGAGGCCTTGGTTTACATGGTTTCCCAGCCCATTTAGACGCCTTTTACAACAAGCAAGGGGGTACTGAGGACCTATTCTAACTCGGATTCCCACGGGGCCAAATTGTGCGAAATTTGAAGTCAAAATTTAAGTAGCATGTGTAAGACTGTTATTTTATTATTCTGTGCATTAGCCCAATTAAGCTTGAAAATTTTTTGTTTGCAGTTGTTGCTGAATTTTAATTTAAAGTGTGCGCAAATCAGAAGGTACGTTTATATTTTTAAATTTTAGTTTTTTGATTTTTTTTTAAAGGTAAAAAATAACAAGCTTTAATTTGTTAAATCTTCTGTTTAAAAAAATAAAAAAAAAAAAATGAAAGAATTTCAAAACCTCATAAACATGAAACTTAAAAAAAAAAATTACATGTAAACTGCAATACAAGATTGCAAAACAGTTTTGTTTCATGTGCAATTCAGTGGGTCGGTATGCAACTACAAAGATATTTTTATTTTAAGCCTTATGGTTTTATATTTGTGAAAGATAGAAAAAATATTGTTAATATGCAAAACAAAAGTATTTTTTGTCATCTAACATGCTATCTGATCATATCTCAAATCACAAGCAATATATAAAATAAGTATATTTACTTTTAAATATTACTCTTAAAAGATTTGTAACTTTTATGTTGACATATACTCTCCTTGCACACTAACATAATTTATCTTGTGTATAGGAGCAGAAGTTTGCCTACAGATCATATTAAATAATTCATATAGCATAATCCAAATGTAACAAATAATCCAAGGTAGGTCAGTTCCAGCACATGGAGCAAGCCTTGTAGTGTGCATCATAGATGGAACATCCATGCAAGTGTTGTCAATGCTCCATATTAATTAAACTTCGAACTGTTACAAACATAGGTAATCATAGATTACACGCTCTAGCTCATCTCAATGAATATCTTTGTCTATAAGTAAGATTAAGTCTCAAATTAAACTAATAAACTAAAGTATATGATTGTGTATATCCAAACCAAATTTGGATAAAATTAATGTATCTAAGGATGCACAGTATTAGGCTTGCATTTAGATTTTCCAGATGAGTGATTTTGGGATATATCATAGTTACTTTAGACTGAACATATGTTCTAAAAAAAAATAAACCTGTTCACTCAATAATCCAGGAAATGTAAGTTAGGTCAAGCAATACGCAAGTTTTGAGATTATCTCCCTTGGTGCGCTCTTTCGCGGAGGAGGGGAGTTTCGTTACCGCGTAAACAGACAGGTGGGACAGTTATTTATATATCGGATACATTGCATCATCGATATACTGAATTAACATAACTAAATGAATGTCATGTTGCCCTCTACAACTCGAGAATAACTGAATTAAGGTAAAGGCATCCTTGTTTAAAGCCAAAAATCGTAACAAATTTGACAAAAAAAATATCAGTGGATGTGCTCGACATTTCAGACGAGGAAAGAGATATGGACCTCTAATAAATACGGTATACATGCATCTGATCATTGCACATGTGCAATCTAAATGACAAAATCATACTTTTCCTTATTATAATTTAAATAAAACTAACTTTTTAGAAAATGTTGGTACAATCAAGAAAATTCTAACGACTACGACATTTCTTTCATTTTTCAAGTACCCTATGATTGAAAGTAGATATCTAAATATGCATAATTGAGCTTAATAAAATCTTCAAATGCATCACTGCTTAACATTATTATATTTCAATAACATTAAATAAATTTTAAAAGCCATAAACATTGTTCATTTATTCATTCACATATGTATACAGAAACAACCTGTCCCACCATTATGCTGAAATTGATACTTTTTGCGCCTCTTTCGTAGGAGAGTTACAATCTTGAAACTCCCGTATTCTGAAGCTACCCTGGTAGTATGCATCCTTAAATGTATCATCCATGCAAGTTTGATTAACATAGTGCTTATACTTGCTCAAGAAAAAAAGATCTGCACCAAAAACTTTAACCTGTTCATTCATCTGGAAAATGTAGGTCAAATCCAGCATCTGAAACAACTCTTGTAATTTCATGCAAGTTTGGTCTATATAGGGCTTATATGAGGGTTGCATGTCCCGTAAAATCGTGGACAAGTTGTCTAGTGTTAAAAATAAACATCACTGTGTTCTGAAATTTTCACTATTATGTAGTACATATTTTAGTAATATACACAGAAAATTTCAGATAAATATTTGCATAAATAAACAAATTATGAGATTTTATGCCATGCATTATATTACCTTATGACGCATGGATTATAATGTGAAAGTGTCTAAAACAGCGTCAAGTTTTATCTTTGCTGAAAATGAAGTTGGATGAGTCTGACTTAAAGTTAGGAATTTCATTGATACACCTTCTTTAGTCTCCATATATAAACAGTTGAAGAACCAATTGGCACTCTCATGCGACCTTCTGAAGATTTATTAGTAAGTTACAGACAATAATCTCACCATCATTCAACTAATAGAAAATATATATCAGCGGTCTACTGTGACAGCGTCTTTTGCTATTACATTAGAGTTTGTCTGTTTGTATTGTACTCCCCAGGGACTCGATCAAAAAAGACTTCGATTTGCTAACAAAACTCCTATTTCATTTGTTTACTTAAGATATGGTGATATTTTTATAATCTTTTTTTCTTCTATGGTCATTTCAAGTCTCTAAAGATGTCATTACAACATCGAATTAAAATTGAACTGCTCTCCAGTGCGCCGTAACGTCATAAAACGTGTGTTGTGTTTACCACTTTCACATTTCTAATTGCTCAAGAAGCTGCCAAAAATTAACAAAATGCCTCAAAATTTTTACAAAGACTACAAAATTGGTTATGGTATTGAATTCAGATAGTTTTTATCGATATCTTGTATATTTAAAACTTTCATTTTGAATTTAAACTTGTATTCTTTAATAAAACCTTGGGTTTTTTTATCTTGCACCGTAGGACAATACCCCATGCAGTTTTAAGCATAAAAAAATCTTTATTTTTGCCTATACAGTTGTGTATTTATGAAAAAAAAAAATTATCATGCACTTAGATATGATAAATAAACATTTTCAGAAATTTTCAGCTTAGTGCACCCATCACCTTTTGAGAATAACGCTTTGTTCATGATTTTATGGATCAACCCTCGTATTTACTTGGAAATGAGACCTGCCCAGAAAACATTAACCTAAGCTGCCCCCCCCCCAAAAAAAAAATTAACCTGGTCATTCCTTTGCTCAAATAGAAGCATCTGAAACCCTGACTGGTATAATGAAACACACAAGAAGCTTTTTGCATGCATATCTGATCAATGTAGAGCATACAAGTACTTATAAACTGCATTAAAAACTTTGACCCTGGAAGCCGATGTTGATGCAGAGGGCATCGCACAACTTCCCCCTAACTTTGTTGAGGTGAGCTAAAAAAATTAACATGCAGACTTTCTTCAGCTGAAATGAAAGCATTCAAAATGAAACCATCTTCAATGTATTTCTGATTAATGTAGGACATATTGAAAATGAAATTTACCTAAAAACTGACTCTTGGGTATCAATGTAGAGGGCAATACATTTAAATTTCTTACAAACTTCTTTCCCATAGAGCCTAAAGAGGAAGCTCAATCCAAATTCAAAATAAAGTAAAAGCTTATTTGATGAGCCTTGCAAAGATGAGATGAATGATACCTTGTAGAGTTCCTTGATTCCCTTTCCTGGAAACATCACTGATTTCACTTTTGAAAAAGTGTCGTATTGCCTCATCTTCTTCTGGAAGCCACATATGCCTTGTTTTTTTAACTGCTAAAAAATCAAATGATTATAATCTAGTTGTAATGTAATTACTAGTTATCTAAATATTAATTCATATAAAACATTTAATTCTACATCTTTATGTATAAAAAAATTGCAGAAAGTATTCCAATTTAGTAATTTTACAAGTATTTTAAATCATTTTTTATTCGCAAAAACTTTAATTATGTATACTTAAGCAAGACAATAATCTTGTGAATAAAAAACATTCATATAAAAGTATTCCTTACAATTATTTTGATCAAGGAATAACAACTTTTGTAAAAATTATGTCTCACTAATAAACAGTCAATGACTATCTTGCAAAAACAAGGTGTTGCAAAAATTTATTGATCTACAGTATAGACTTCATTAAAGAAAATTATAAACAATTTGATCCCTTGCACCCCTACACTTTTATTAAAGACAAATTTGTAGGCCTGGGTGTTAATTTTTTTTAAAGACTATGACAAGCTTTGAGTTAAACATGCTTTCTTAAATTTTCTGAATAATTTCATGAATTATATGCTGCTATAGCATTTTCACCAAGGAAAATAAAATATATAATTGCAGTACAATTTCTTTTTGCAAAATAAATCATCTAAGGGGTGGGGGTCTATTTTTAACAAAGAGCAAAGTGCATTGCATATTGGGGGTGAATGTGGGATTGGGGCATATAGCATCCAAATGTAATTGGGCAGTTTCATTTATTCCTAGCAGGAACATATTATATAGAGTTATTGAACTTATATCAGTGAATATTGGCACAAGTTGGCTGTTCAAATGCACGAGCTTGCGTTTGATATTGAACGCTCGTATTCGGAATGTAATACAAAGTTAGTGTTCAATAAAACGTCAAGATATTGAACATAAAAATTCTCTAGATTTTTGGTAATATTTTTTCAGAGACTGTTTATTAGCTATAAGAAAATCACAATAATATGACAATACGCGAATGACAAACTGAAAGGAGAAAGTTGATTAGTTCCCATATTTTCAAGGTTGCAATGATTCAGTGTACATGTAAGTACATGAGTATTGTCATGTCATACATAAAATTTCAGGGTAATAAAAGGTATTAAAACAGTCTGTAAAAGCATCATATCTTAAAAAATAAACTATTAATTTAAAAATGAACAACGTTGGTCCTTATACAATACCACATAAGCATAAGCTAAAAGATTGAATTCCTAAGGCTACTCTTTAAATTTTGCCAATAAACACACAAAGTTTTATCCCTAAGGTTATGATTTAAACAAACATGAATGTAGTCACAACCTGAGGATGCTTCCTTAGAAATATGATAAACCATGGCTATTTTGTTCTTGAAAAGATTTTTAAAGATATTTCCTATACTAGTATATTTCTATACAAGAGGCCCACGGGCCTTATAGGTCACCTGAGTATCATGTAACAACTTTCCAGCGATTGCATTTGGTTTATATTTTAATCCAAAAGCCATAAAATTCACAAATTTGGAAGGAAGCACCATTGCTTATCAAAGGACAGATTTCAAAGCATTAATTTATTTTTAGTCAAAGTACCCCCCTGGTACCCTTGACCCAGCGGCCCTGAAATTATTTATTTTGAAAGAGGCCCCTTTCTTCATTATAAGGCCAGCATTTTTTTTAATGTTCAGGTTTAGTTATGAACATTAGAATAATTTTTTTTTAAATATGTGTTAGGTAAATGTGTAGACATTGTTCTAAAATTTACTTGATGCCTAAAATTATCATTCCTATCATAAAACAGACAGGGAGAAATTTATTGGGGAGTAGGGTGAACATTTTTTCAATTAAGTGTAAAATAATTTTTCTGGCTGATACAAATGATACTACATGCCTGTATATATTTGTATATTCTTGCTTTTTAGTAGTTGAATTTTTTTAATTTCTTCAGGTTATTGTTTATTTCTTCCTCAAATGGACTTTACTTCTCCCATAGTTTTATTCATTACATCTGATGCATAAGCAACCCTTTTCTGAAGAATGATGCTTTGACTGTAAGCTATAACAGAGTCCTAAACAATGTTGATGGCAATATGCAATTGCTACCACGGGCAGTTTAAAACCTGGGGGAGGAAAATAATTTACACAGATACTTCTGAAACGAATACATAATTAACTCACCAGCATGTCATTGTGCAACAAAGTCGTCAGCATTTTATTTGTCCTTTGAACGGGTGAAACGTTTTGAATGGCATTCGTATCAAAGAATTTTACACTAAACCATGTCATTTGAATAAATTTGAATCTAAACTGCCTGAGGATGCTTCTTTATATGATAAACCAATGGCTTTTTTGTTCTTGAGAAGATTTTTTTTAATTTCCTATATACTCCTACGTAACTTTGATCAGCCATTCTTGCCCAACCTACCTCTGGGAGTAATGATTTGAAAGTGAATCTTATAATATACACTACCTGAGGATGCTTTTACATTAGTTTAATCTTTCCCTACCCAGTGGTTCTTGAGAAGAAGATTTTTAAAACAATCCACCAAATTTTCACTATTTTTCTAATTAACTCTCCTTTAACAAGAGATGTTTGTAAAACACTTATGCCCCCCTCCCCCACAAATTGGAATTTTTTTAAGTCCAAAAGGGCATAACTCTGTCAAAAATGGTGTGATCATATGATTATACCCAAAACAGAACTTGACCAAGATATTCATCTGACTAATCTGTATACTAAATTCCATTTCAATATGTGCAACCTCTCCAAAGAAAATGAATGGAAAGTGCAAAAATATGGAATTTTTCTAAGTCCAAGGGGCATAACTCTGTCAATTATGGTGCGATCATACCCAAAACAGAACTTGGCCTAGATATTCATCTGACTAATCTGTATACTAAATTCCATTTTAATATGTGCAACTTCTCCAAAGAAAATGAGCGGAAACTGCAAATAATTGGAATTTTCTAAGTCCAAGGGGCATAACTCTGTCAATTATGGTGCGATTGTACCCAAAAGAAAACTTGGCCTAGATATTCTTCTGACTAATCTGTTTACTAAATTCCATTTCAATATGTGCAACCTCTAAAAAAAAAATGAGCGGAAACTGCAAACAATTGGAATTTTTTTGAGTCCAAGGGGCATAACTCTGTCAATTATGGTGCGACCGTACCCGAAACAGAACTTGACCTAGATATTCATGTGATATACTTGTATACAAAATTTCATTTCAGTATGTGCAACGGTTATGAAGAAAATGAGCGGAAACTAAATGGACCGACAGACCGACTGACCGACAGACAGTAGCATTAAGCAATATGCCCTCCCTTCTTCGAAGGGCGGCATAAAAAGAGTGTGGACCTTTATTTGAAGAAACTTGAATACCATTTATCCAAGGAGGATGCCTTGTAGCAATTGGCCCAGTGTTCTGGAGAAAAAGTAAAAAATGTGAACAGTTTACAGATGGACAGACAGATATTATGATCAGAATAGCTCACTAAAGCTTTCATCTCAGGTGACCTAAAAAGTGTTGGGTTCTATTATTTGAACGCATGTTTAGTTAAAGCAGTTCAGGATGCAGTCGACTCATTACAGTACATATCATTGGCATGCAGATGATGCAGAGAAATAAAGAAGTATGGCATTGATTTTCTAGATATCTACAGTCAATATTGAAGCACTGTTGATCATGATAAAGTTGCTTGTTTAGAATTAAAAAGAACAAGAAGTCTCCGTCGAGACTGTACCTCTACTGGTTTGTACTTAAAACAAAGGATGAGAAAAGAAGCCATAGCCATCAGACCAAAACTGTAGTAGCTTTTAAAGGAATTTCACAGAAAATTCTATTTTTAGAAACCATGGCAACACTGTTCATCGGAATCAAAAACCGATGCACTTTTTTATGTATCTTAGTGTCGTCTACTTGTGTTTCAAGTAATACTGAATTCAGACCAAAACTGTAGAAAGAGTAGCGTTTTAATTTAAAAGAAATTTCACAGAAAATTCTATTTTTAGTAACCATGGCAACACCGTTCATTGAAATAAAAAACCGATGCACTATTTTATGTATCTTAGTGTAGTCTACTTGTGTGCCAAGTAATACTGAAATCAGACCAAAACTGCATGCAGAAGGAGTAGCATTTTAAAGGAATTTCATAGAAAATACAATTTTTAGTAACCAAGGAAATACCATTCATGGTAATCAAAAACCGATGCACTATTTGATGTATCTTAGTGTCGTCTAATTGTGTGCCAAGTAATATTGAAATCAGACCAAAACTGTAGGAGGAGTAGCGTTTTGAAAATTGTTTACAGACAGACAGACAGCTAGACAGACAGACGGACGGATGACAGACACCTAAGTATCGCATAAGCTCTTCTGGTCTCTGACCAGTAAAGCTAAAAAAGAGGGAAAATGTTAGGGTTTTTTCAAAAGAGAGAAAGAAAAATAAAGCCTCTCTCAAACATTAATTTTGGAAAAAAATGGCCTAACTTTATATTTTCAATTTGTAGGCATGCAGACTGAGGTGAAAAAGTTTAAGGAATAGAAATACTTTTTTGTTTGTTGTTTAAACCCCCTCTTCAGATTTTTTTACTTCCAATTTTCCTGTTTGGGTATGCTAGAATAATGCACCTTGAAAGTAATCTGAGTCTTAATTAATAATAATGAAAAAATATACCTGTCAATGATTCAGTTTCTTCGTTCTCTAATTCTAGATCATCAAACATTTCATCTTCACTTTCCACCTGTAAATCAGCCACATTTTCAGATTCTCCCCCACTTTGTGCAATGTCTTCAATTTCAGATGTGACTACTCTTGGTATTTTCCGTTTACTAGGCCCTGGTACCTTAGAAATATTACAAAATTATTCATTTCTTGTTTGATATATCATGAAAATTAAGTGTAATAAGCCAATAGGCAAATTTATATTTTATTAGTACTTATAGAGAATGTGTTTTTAACAAGAGACACGTGTGAGCCCTTCTTGGTCTAAATTCATTTACAAGTAAACATTGCAAACAAGTGCATAATCTTAATTATGGTTAGAAATGCTTCTTTTACTAAATATGTTGTCCATATGATATTTTTATTATTATACTTTTATGTTAAATCAGGAATTTTCCACTCACTTTTGGGAATGGGACCCAGGCCCTTGGAATTGGAAATTTTACAACATTTTATCACTTATTTGGAAATTTTTAGGGCTGGGCAATAATATCGATATTTCAATATATTGCAATACAATGACAAACTAGAACTGTCCAATAGGGACAAATACCCCCCGCTGGGTTTTTCAGAGAAGGTGCCAATTCAAAAATACTTTATGGATCTAGAGATGTTTACAATTTACTTTAAAAAATTTACAGTGAAATATAATTGCTCATCATGTTTCTTAATAATGAAACGGAGGTGCAACCAAATGAAACATCAGTATTACATGTAATACATTGTAATTCCATTGTAACATTTTTTTTTCATTTAATTTTTTCTTCATTACTGCATTAAAAAAAGATATTGCAATTATGTGTTATGTCACTCTGCAAACTGATTGTTGAAAAAACAAGAGACCCACGGGCCTTATAGGTCACCTGAGCATTATGCAACAACTTTCCAGTTACAGTGTATTGAATTTGTTCAATATCATGTTTTAAGCCAGATGCTATATGGCATTCACAATTTTGAAAGAGCACCATTGATCATCATAACAATAAACTTAGCAGTCGCTTAGCTTGGTAGCTTGGTTAATGAATACCCATATGCAGGGTAGGGGAACAAAAATGCACTCCAACTAATCAGTAATATTCATCAATAATCAGTAGTGCCCCTAACACTCTGACATAAACCCCTGACCCTAGGTTGCACAAATTTTTAAAAAGCACCCTTAAAATTGCCTATTAAAAAGTAAATAAATGTTTTATAAATACAAAGGACCAGATTTCAAACAATTAATTCATTTCCAGTATATAAGTAGAGCCCCCCCCCCCCCCCCCCCCCCCCACCCCTGACCCTGGGGCCTTGAAATTCACAATTCTGCAAGATTAGGGCCCTTGCTCATCATAACTATATAGGTAGTTCATCTGCTTCATACCCAGAGACAGAGAAGAAAATTTTCAAAGATTTAATGTATTTTCACTATATAATCAATAGAGCCCCACCCTAACACCAGAACCCCTGACCCTGGGGCCATAAAATTCACAATTTTTGTAGAGGCACTCTTGCTCATCATAACTATGCACTTAGTTGGTTTATGTAATACCTAGGAGCAGAGAAGAAGATTTTCAAAGAATTCATGTAATTTCACTATATAATCAATAGAGCCCCCCCCCACCCCCACACACACACACACACCAGAACCCTTGACCCTGGGGCCATAAAATTAACAATTTTGGTAGAGGCACTCTTTCTCATCATAAATATGCTCTTAGTTAGTTTATTCAATACCTAGGAGCAGATAAGAAGATTTTCAAAAAATTCATGTAATTTCACTATATAATCAATAGAGCCCCCCCCCCCCACACACACACCAGAACCCTTGACCCTGGGGCCATAAAATTCACAATTTTGGTAGAGACACTCTTGCTCATCATAACTATTTACTTACTTGGTTTATTTAATACCAAGGGGCAGAGAAGAAAATTTTCAAAGATATCATGTATTTTTACTATATAATCAATAGAGCCCCACCCTAACACCAGAACCCCTGACCCTGGGGCCATAAAATTCACAAATTTGGTAGAGGCACTCTTGCTCATCATAACTATGTACTTAGTTGGTTTATTTAATACCCAGGAGCAGAGAAGAAGATTTTCAAAGAAATAATGCATTTTCACTATATATTTATTTAGCCCCGCCCTAGCACTAGAACCCCTGACCCCAGGGCCATGAATTTCACAATTTTGGTAGAGGACTCAATGCTGATTACAATCGTGCAAATAGTTTGACTGCTTGATGTCCAGGAGTAAAGAAGAAGATTTTTAAAGATTGCATTAATTTTAGTGGTTTTGGCCCCACCCCTCAGGCCCCATGGGGGCAGGGATCATGAAATTCACAATTTTTGTTCCCCTTCACCCATAGATGCTTTGTGCCAAATTTGGTTGAAATTGGTTCATTGGTTGCAGAGAAGAAGCTGAAAATGTTCAAATGTTAACACACGACACACGACGGACGACGACGGACGAAAACGGATAGCAATAGGTCACCTGAGTTTACTCAGGTGACCTAAAAAAACATTATACACAATCAAATTAATCTTGATATATCAATTTGAAATGCATTTTGAAAATAAAGAACTGGTCATCCAGTCATGAAGTGTTTTGACAGACAATAAATTACAATTAAGAGAATAAGAGAAGAGAGATCTTTAATTCTTGTGCCTTATTCCCTGAAGATTTGATAACACACACACTTGATAAGAGGTATGCCTAAACAACTTCCAACACCAAACTCATTACTTTATCTTTAACTGGATGCATGTCCAGTCATTATTCCCAAGAGACAAATGAAATTACATTATCTTCTGTGCAATGTAAAAACTGTTTTGTAACACTTGATGTTTCTTTTTTTAAAAAGTTTTTATGAGTAGTTTTAAGCTGTAGTTCACGTTTTTGTACAGATATTCTAGATTCTATGTCTTAAACCTTATACATGAGGCCAAAATGAACAAGTTAATAAAAATTTTTAAAAACCTATAAAATGCAGAAAAAAGAACAAAAAGAGTTGAAAATTCCAGGTGCACAACTTCATATGATGAATAATAATTGTACAAATTTTCAGATTAATCCTTGCAATAGTTTCTGAGAAACGGTCCAAACAAAACTCCAAAATAAAAATGAAAAAACACCTTTAAAATTCAAAATTATAAACCAATCAAGATGAAAAATATCAGGTGCACAACTTCATATGGTGAATAATATGTGTACAAATTTTCAGACAAATCCTTCCAATAGTTTCTGAGTAATGGTCTGGACAAAGTCTCGTCTACGGGGGGTATAAAAACTTCGTTTGCGGGGGGTATAAAAATATCGTATCGCAATACAATTTTGTAATAACGATATATTGGCAATATGCTTAAATTAAGGAAATTTGTCATTAAATATAAAAATGGACTAATGAAGGTTTGTTATTAAGCCAAACAGTATGTCAGAAGTTGTTTTGTGGGAACATTTCAGAGCATAACTTTAATGAAATCAACATTTTTTTTTTTTTTTTTGGTCAGTGTTGGTTACTTATCATAGTTATGTACATTCTGCATGTAAATTAAAGAAAATATAGTAAGAAAATGCCATTTAAATTAAATTGAAAATAATGCAATACATATCGCAATACAGTCATAAATATCGCAATACGAAATCTCGGGCCAATACCCAGCCCTAGAAATTTTACTGAATGATTTTTTCAGGAAATAAATACTGGTACTTAAGATGAATAGTTTTACCCAAAATTCTTCAAAATTTTGATCATTTCAATCAAATCTCCAAACCTAAACATGTTTGTTTTTTGTGAATTATGTTCATGTTACATTCTTGAGTTCTTTTTCTTTCAAAAATTGAACATAGGCAGATCATTTCGGGGAAAAAGGGAGGGTTTTGCAATTGGGAATTGGGCCCATATTTGGCCCTACATGGGGTAGTGGAAAATCCCTGCTTAAATACTAAATTCTGATTGGTTTAGATGCAGTTTACAATCCGTTCTATTACCCTTAGCAACACACATGACAACGAGTAGCACAATGGTAATGTCACAAGCGTGGGAATTATGAGCGTACGGTTTACCGTAGAATTTTCAAAACTTTAGTTGCGAGTTTGAAAGAACCAGAATAAACTTGACGTGAATAAAAGCTTGCATCCAATGTACCTTACTTGAAAACAACAAACAACAGACAAAACATGCTTGCAAGTGCAGAAATAAACAAAACTTTTGATGATAAAGGAGACTTAAAGTATTAAATAAACAATAAAGAGGTCAGTGAATCTTTTTCTAAGTAGTGGAGAGTTTTGAAAGCTTTCTAAACATGAACGTAAAGATGATCAACAATATTTTTCCAACATCCTAAATCAACAAGACATTCAGTATAAAAATAAATGGTGCCTGTTTTGGAGGTTAATTCACAGTTGAAATTGACACCCCTCGGAAAACCATTGTCAACCTCCGCTTACGCCTTGGTTGACAATGGTTTTGCTTGGGGTTTTAATTTCAACTGTTATCCTCCAAAACAGGCACCATTTATATAATGTGTACTGCACATGTATTTGTACTATGGGACGTCATTTTTTTTATAGCAAATATGAAATTAATTTTTAAATTACATGAGCATGATGAAGTAAACAAATTTTCATACACATACATGTATACACTGTATTGATAATTGAAATGGACATATCATTTGTTATCCCCATGAATATCATTAAGAACAAACCATTTATACTAAAGATTTAATTCTATAAGAATTTCTTAGAGATTGCAGCTCTGAATGATATATATATAACTGTAATACATTTCTGAAATATAATAACTCAACAAATCAAAGGTACAAAGTTTAATTTACCTCTTCTTCTGAAGTATCAATCTCAATATCTCCTTTCAATCCTAAACCACAAAAAAATGATATGTATTAACAGTAGAATTGTAAAATAATACAAACATATTGTGTTGCTTAATTCAAACTCATTCTAAATGTAAGAAGGACTGTTACAGATGTTTCCCAATCACTCCCCCTACTTTGGAATTGATAAACACATGCCATCACTGGTTCCAAAACAAACATTGCAAAGATCACTTCAACAAATGTAGAAAGCTCTCTATAAGTGAAGTAAATATAGATGTCAGAAAGATCTCTTTGTAAAGATGGAATATCAACAATATAATTTTTTGGTTATGCTGCGTTTCCACTGTTGTGAGGTCAGTTGCGATTGACCAATTGTAGATGATCACAGAATTTTTATTGAATTTTATGCCCAAATATGAAGATATGCGCATAGGTGCAATTTTATATGATTCATTACACTGTTATGCACAATGGTCACAATGGATAAATTTCAATATTTACATTTGCTAATGTCTTTCCTCACATGACAATACTAAAAAAATGAAATTCAATTTTCGATGACATGAAGTACGTCACATGATCAGACTTTCTTGCGTATGGAAAGCAAACTGCACGAGCAATTTGAAAAGTTCCGACTGTGACGTCACATAACGTCGTAGATACGTTACGTTGCATTTCAAAATAAAAGTCTAAATAATGCTTATATTTTTTGTAACATGAATAAAATGTAAAATATAAATATAAGAAATAAAATATCATTTTTAGAGTGTCATTGGATATGACATAAAGTCGGTACGTGATCAAATTTACCATAACGCCCTTCGGGCGTTATAGAATTTGATCACGTGACCGACTTCATGTCATACCCCAATGACACTCTAAAAATGATATTTTATTTCTTAATGTGATGCAATCTCTGATGATCTGACTACCATTCAGATAAGATGAATTACGTTCCAATAGGATTATCAAGATTTAGTTGACAAAAGGGCCTTGAACTATTGCGAATATCATGATCCGAGTCCAGGATTTGAAATGATCTTCTACGTTTAAATACGTACTCATATGACAGAATACGTTCATCAGGCTCCCTTGAGCTACTCTGTGATAGAACAACCAAGTTTATTGCATTATGCCTTTCACAATCAGGATCAAAATGAAACACGCTTTGAGCTACAATTGTACCCTGACAGATATAAGTTTTAATAATCTGTCTATATTGAGTTTATTATTTTCTTTCCATAAAAAAGGTAAGCACAATAAAAACATACACAATCATTAAAAATGGCCGAAGATAATGACAATGTGATCTTTGCAGTACTGCTATGCTCTTTATGTAATTGCCATCAAAGAGGAGGAAGAGCAACAGATAAAGCATGTACAACTCCGTTAAAGAAGGGTTAGAAGACCTGCACTCAGACACTTTTGGGTGCGACCATGGCTCACACAGGAGAGAAGGTAACAGTTTGGTCACTATTCTAATCTTCTGGACAGTCACTTGATCAGGCTTGAGGATCCAGCAGCATTCCAAAATTATACAAATCTTAACTGGGACACTGACACTTTACAATGATCCAAAGGTATACCATAATCTCATCTCGACTTTGTCGAGGTGAGGTAAATGCAAATTATGGACAAAAAATGGACATATAACAAATTATTTTAAAAAATTTTTAAAATTTCATGGTATTTTAAGTCTTACTATATTGTTTTTACTTTCATTTTGATAAAGTTTGATATCTGCAGGAACTTTTAATATTGATACATATAAGTTGTGTAAATAAGTCAAAATATTGTGATTACAATTTTATAAATCTTATTTACTAGGCAAGATAAAGGACTGAAATTACCTCCAAGAAATTGCAAAGTAGTCTTTACAGCCAGCCATGCGTCTTCTGTAAAGAACTGTTTGGCACAGTTTTGTAATTTTTTATTCATAAGTAGACTTTTGCTCTGCATCAATGTTTCTGGCTGCACAGTAACATCCTCCTCTTGTATTAGCCTTGAAAAATCCAACAGTTGACAAAATGGAATGTCCTCTGCTACCAGGCCTATAAATTCTGTAATATAGAGTATGCAGATATCAAAACCTAAATAATTAAGTTCAATTAAATCTATTGACTTCACTGTGTTGGTAAACAGTCAGGTAAAAAATTAAATGACAGAGTATAAAAAAGGAAAATTATAAGATAACATAATACCTTTTACATTTTTAGGTTTTAATGTATTGACAATAGAGCCCTGACCTAGCATCAGAACATTTTCCCCAAGGGTCATGAATTTTTAAATTCCATTGAACTTATGAAAATCTTCAATAGCTTACATAATAATGCATGATAACAATGACAACTGGAAGAGTTAGCTTACTTCCTTGAATCAGACAACTTACAATAGAATATGAAAATAAAAGGTGGGTGAACATGAAGCACACAAAGCCTATAGTGTGACAAACAGGAGACAAAAAATTACATTTCATTTATTTAAAAAATTTTCATTGATTTTTCATAATTCTGTAACATTAGAATATACACTTTTTATGATATAAAATCTCATGATTTTGCAAAAATCATACAAAAAAGGCCAGAAAAGTAATTTTCCGATTTAATAACACTACTGTTTAATATATTGAGTGGGTCTCCATATTTCAAATGTGTATTCTTGCAACTTCTCTTCTGTTACAAACATTTTATTTTGACTTTGCAGTTGTTAAAATATATGTATGTAATGGTTATAAGGCGAAAACTGTCCATTATGTCAGATATTAGACGACCCGAGGCGCGTTAGCGCCGAGGAGAGTCTAATATCTGACATAATGGACAGTTTGAGGCTTATAACTTACCTAAAACATTTCACCATTGTCGAACACTTCCATTGTTAACTTATTGGACAGCTACAGGTAAGGTTTCGTTCTGCTTGAATGACTACCTGGCACTGTTCATCAAGTTAGGCCAAAGAAAACCAGTTTTGGTTTTACTTCTGATTTTATTAATTGTAGGAATCATCGAGAGGTCTTTTATATCGATAAATATGAACATTAACTTTGTTTAGTCTTATTTGTCTGCATTGCGACATTTTTTATCTAAACTACGCATGCGTAAAAGTCAGTTCTACTAAATTCTTGACAATTTATTCATTTTACAACGCAACGACCACAATGATGACGTGCATTTTGATTTTGAAAAAAAATACCTTCAGAATCGGGTGTTTTGAGGTTTCCATTTACCGATTACACCAAGATGCCTCAGTTCAAGTTTTTACTATGAAATCCGGATATATATTCTTATGTTTCGGAGTTTCCCGTCAAAAGGTAATTTTTGTAAAGCAATAGGATTGAAGTATTTTAATCCTACAACTGTTTAAGCATTTTCTTTGAAATTGGGAGATTATTTCTGGTGTTTTTTTTCAAATGCAACACTTTTCTCTTTTGTGTGCAGTTTTCGAACTCGGGAGGATTTTACCCCAGCCACTCCTTAAAACAACGACAGACACTCGCTCAAATGACGCAGGACTAGGTGCCTGGACAAATGATAATAAATCACTGAAGGAAATTACAGATTCTGTTGGAATTTCGTGAGCAAAATTTTGTGCTAACTGCGGAAAAGTGAATATTTCAATAAACAAAAAGCCCAAGGTTGTGTTTAAGAAAACGCATTCTTCTCATTAATTCTTTGTGTCCATTGCATGGATTTTATATTATGTTCCGTGAATCAAGCATTGGGAAATGAATCTATTATATAGCAATGAACAGTGAATTCAGGAACTTTATGATCGGAGCCACGGATGCGCGTCTACAATACTGAATCTGAGACATTCAATTCACTGTTTTTTTGTGCAATTAAATGATTTTCAATAGGATTTTTTGTGAAATACTAACATTTAACGCTATTTTCCTACGTTGTTCATATTAAATTGTTAGATTTGCTATTGCTTTTTATGTGCTGTTTACTTATTTGCCTCGCTCTTTGTTCTCATTTTAACGTTACCTGTACCTGTCCAATAAGTTGAAACTTATTGGACACCTACAGGTAACTTATTGGTGCAGGACAATAACAAATTTATTGAACCAGGTTTAACAAAAGATGACGTCACAGAAATGTTTTAAGGAAGGATATGGAGCTCACTAACAGTATTCAATTTCAAAGCTCATACAACAATACAAAATAGGAGCAGAGCAAACACATCAGAGGAGGGATCAGATGCCTTGGAGGA